GCTGAATGCAACAGAAATTTGTGACCTTGTGCTCTAGTTTGTGTTTCATGGCCTTTTATCCATTCCTGCAAGTTCTGGGCTCAGAATTTGTAACTAAGGCTGCTAACTCTACCTTGATTCTGTTCTGCCCTTAGCTGCAGCCACCCTTGATCTAGTGTCTTTGTGGCTCTAGCATGACACTTCAAGCAGTTGGCTCACTACTGGAGAAATAAAGAATATCACCAGATTGACTCTACTGTCTGTAGCAATGTTAGCCTCAAGCAAGAGGATGTACAGTTCTTCATGCTCCCAAATCTTTCTAACACGGAAGCCAGAAAAGGCTCAGACTTTACACCACAGTTTCGAAAAGGGAACCCTTACTTCAAGACGCCTGCGTGACACTGAGACCTGTCGACAGAATTTTAGGAATTTTTCATACCCAGACCTGGCTGGTCCTCGAAAGGCATTGAGTCAGCTCCGAGAGCTCTGCCTTAAGTGGCTGAGACCTGAGATTCACTCAAAGGAACAAATTCTGGAGCTTCTGGTGCTGGAGCAATTCCTGACCATCCTACCTGGGGAGGTTAGGACTTGGGTAAAGTCCCAGTATCCAGAGAGCAGCGAGGAAGCAGTGTCTATCGTGGAGGATTTGACTCAGATTCTAGAAGAGGAAGGTGAGAATTGTAGAGCAAAGAGGGGAGGAATCCTTTGGGGGTTAAAGAAAGCAACTAGTATATCAGAGAGTGGCTCCTTTAAAGAAATTGTAGAGAATAAAGGTTAGTGAATGAGTGAGAACAAGGCTTTAACATGAACTCCATCCTGCATATTGTGCCCCTTCCACATTGCTTGGGAGCACACGTACATTATCTAAACCCAGAGGAGAAATGTCCTGAAAGAATGACCAGATATAACCGAATTACCCATGGGCTTGCCCACAGAAAGTGTACCTGCAGAGGTCTGCATCATTTTAGTAAATCACTTGCTTAGTGAGTTGAATTTTACAATAACATACTTCCAAAAAGATAGGAAGGGTCCAGAAAACATTCTCTTAAGAAAAGAGACAACTCACAAAATTAAAAGCATATAAGGATTTAGTAAAAAAAGATATGAATTTTGTACATACACTTAAGAGTCCCAGAGCAGACTTGTTTTTTGATGTCTACATGAACATCTTAGGACAAGTTGTTGGCCCCTCCCTCTGTTTCTTTGAAAGGGTTCTGTTTTGGGGTTTCCTCCTGATTTCTCACCTTAAGAAGTCATAGGCATCTATTTGGTGAAGGGTGTTCTAGGCTGTTCAAACAGGACTGATCTCTGTTATGGTCTTTTTCTCTTTCCTAGCTCCTCAGAACTCTGCTCTTTCCCAAGACACCCCAGAGGAAGACCCCAGAGAAAAACATACTTTCCAGGCAGGGTGGCTAAATGATTTGGTGACCAAAGTGAGTTTGATTTCATTTGTGATTTGAAAATGCCTTCGTGTTTGGGGACGTTTTCTGTCCTGGCTCTGTAATTACTGTGCCCTCAAAAGCTCTGCTCTCCTTAGTTATCTTAGCCTGTCAAGGTAGGTAACTGTACTATATAGGAAACGGGCTTCCATTGCCTTCCCTTGTATGCCTTTCCTCACCCTTAGACACTATTGCATAGAGGTTGAGGAATCAACCTCCACACCCAGTGGGATCTGAGCTTTGGTACCTGGCTGTTCTATTGAATCTATGTTCTGGGACAAGATACTTAACCACTCTAAAGCTGAGTTATTCAAATCTCATAAATAGAATTTACCTCTAAGTTGTGAGGATTAAGTATTATGAGACTTGCAGTGAGCCTGGATTACAGTAAGTGATTAATAGATAATAATTTCTAATAGTCTTTTTCTCATTAATAAATAATTAAAGGCCATGCATTTTGTAATATCACTGTTGATCATGAGTCTGCATAATTTTAAGAAACAGCAAGTTAAGCCACCTTAAGAGAAAGATTTACTTTAAAAATATAAATAGTCTTTCTGAAATTAGAAAGCCTTTGGTAACCAAATTAAAATGATAATGTTTACCTAGAAAACCTAAGAAAATCAAGGGGGAAATTGTTAGAAATAATAATAGAAAAATTTAGTAAAGTGCTACAGAAAATGAAATGCAAAAACTAATCACTTTCTTAAGTATACATAAAAATCATGTGATTATAACATAAAATAAAAGATCTCATTCAGGTATAGCCCCTCCCCCCAAAAAATACCTTAAGATAGCTAGAATTAAGCATGGTACAAATTTTGTAGTGCCTTCATGTCCTGTATCATTTTATAGGATGGGAAAGAAACCTTGACTATTGTAAAGCCATCAGTTCTCCCTAAATTATAAACCTAATGCAATTTAAAATACCAGTATGCCTTTTTAAAGATACTGACAATTAAATGAAAAAATAAACATTTAAGAGTAATATGTTTTGTTTTGTTTTGTTTTGTTTTGAGACGGAGCCTTAAGCTATCCCCCTGGGTAAAGTGCCATGGCATCACGCTCACAGCAACCTCCAACTCCTGGGCTCAAGCGAGTCTCCTGCCTCAGCCTCCCAAGTAGCTGGGACCACAGGCGCCCGCCACAACGCCTGGCCATTTTTTGGTTGCAGCCATCATTGTCATTTGGCGGGCCCGAGCTGGGGATTCGAACCTGCCACCTTAGGTGTATGTGGCTGGCGCCTTAGCCGCTTGAGCCACAGGCACCGAGCCAAGAGTAATATGTTTTAACAAAAGGAAGAAGAGCAAAAAGGAACCTTAACAAATCATTAAATATATCTAAAAATACAGCCGTTCAACAGGGTCGTTATTGGTATCAGTTTTATTTTAAGAAAGACTCTGCATTTCAATATAGAGCATGTAAAAATATCTTAAAATTTTGAACTATAGTATGCTGTTTTTGTTAAGGCAAAGCTTAAAAAGTAAAACCATTCAACTCTGCCATCCATGTTTAAAATTCAAATCCCTTTTTTAAAAAAAATAAAATAAAATATAGAGTCACCAATGCATACGTTGTATGGAACTAGTTCTGCTAGTTCTGGTGCCAGTAAGTTCTTTGTTTTCAAAATTCCTTCCATTTAGGGTCACAGAGAGATGCTCTGGGGTCACCTGTGCATTGAAGGGGGATTTTAACTTGACAACTTTTATGATCTAACTAAAGCTTAAGATTCTGTGACCACCACTCCTACTTACCATTCATGCACTCGGTGTTATACTGTACCCCTTCCTACCAGTTCTTGAACTGATTTAAGTTATATTTGATATTTTAGGAATCAATGACATTCAAAGATGTGGCTGTCGACATCACCAGGGAAGACTGGGAGCTAATGCGTCCCGTGCAGAAGGAGTTATACAAGACTGTGACATTACAGAACTACTGGAACATGGTTTCTCTGGGTAAGGATCATCTATAGCCCTCCTTCTCCTAATCCTCCCTCAGTTATTAAAAATGGATTGGGCCTCTGAAGTACTTACCTGACAATGGGGTCTAGAAATGAGTGTTCTCATCCATTCAGACACAAAAAATGACTCTGTTTCAGTCCCTTTTCCCATATAAAAGGTTTCTAAGAAAAGATCATTGAAAACTTTGGTGCAGAGCTGCACAGTGCTTGCCACCCAGTGCTGCCCTTCCCTACTCTCCTACTTTAAGGGAAGGTTTCTTCCCACATGACCTCCATGGACTTATCCTCTTGGGTGGCAGGAAATTTTTATCCTAGCTCTGAAAATGATGACAGCCTAAAGCTCTTATTAGATCATGTCTATGGACTATTACTTTCCTTTAGAGGTCTGTCCTCCAAAATAAGTAGAAGTCAAGTAATAAACTTTGAACAACTGTTTATCTCCAGGATAAAATTCATTATGTTTATCCTGAACAGGACTTACAGTATATAGACCAACTGTGATTCCCATACTGGAAGAACCATGGATGGTGATAAAAGAAATTTTAGAAGGCCCTAGTCCAGGTAAGAGAAAAACCAGCACATGAAATTCTTTACACTTAAGAGTCTATATTCTAAGTGTAGTGAGTTGTGTTTTTTAAATGTGGCCAAGTCGATGTCTGCAAAGGCATCCTAGCCTGTTAAGAACACTGAGCCATTTGGTATTGCTTCCTTACAGAGGCTGTCTGCAGGAAGAGAATTTCCAAACATCATTTTTATATGTTTCACTTGTTTCACCATTCTGCATGACCCATAGAGCCATTAGAGCTTTCATTAAGCCATTTCCCCCCCTCCCTCTATATTTAAACATTTAAGAATGTCCCTAAAAACTTAAATTTCACGGGGTGGCACCTGTGGCTCAATGCATAGGGCACCAGCCCCATATACTGAGGGTGGCAGGTTCGAACCCGGCCCCGGCCAAACTGCAACAAAATAGCCGGGCTTTGTGGTGGGCACCTGTGATCCCAGCTACTCGGCAGGCTGAGGCAAGAGAATCACCTAAATCCAGGAGTGGAGGTTGCTGTGAGCTGTGACGCCATGGCACTCTACTAAGGGCGATAAAGTGAGACTCTGTCTCTTAAAAAAAAAAAAAAAAACCTAAATTTCAAATTTTCTTCATACTAAGTTTCTTTTATTCTGTTCACTGACAAGCCCCTGCCTCTACTTCCCTAACTTATCCCCTCTATTTTATTTTATGATTATTTAAAAAGAGCATATTTATAAGCTTCAATAATTTTAAAATAAGACCAGATCTGTACAGACACATCTCCCATCTATATAATACATTCATCCAGTCCCTCCATTCCCCAGCATGCAACCACAGTCATTAGATCATGTCCATGAACCATTGTTTTCCTATAGAAGTCTGTCCTCCCAAATAAGTAGAAATCAGGTAGTAAACTTCAAGACAACTGTTTTCCTCCAGGATAAAATTCTAGCTTTTATCTTGGAGCTAAGAGGCCCTCATTCCTTTTTTTATATCTGCATTGTAAATTTTGTGTGTTAAACTTACTCCTTATTAATGGACTATGTGGTTGTCCACATTCCTTCTCTCCTCCACAACAACTTCATTGTGAAAAGATTTCAAACCTATAGAAAAGTTGCAGGCACAATACATTGAACACTGATGTGCTGTTCACCTGGAATCATTAGTTATCATTTAGCCATTTTTGCTTTATCGCTTTACACACACACACTTGGTTTTTGCAGTGAAGCACTTAAAGGTTATAGGCATCATAACATCTTACCCCCGAATATCTCCTAAGAACATTCTTCTACATGAGCACAACAGCATTCTCTTATCCCAAGTATTTAACATTTGTACAATGGTATCAAACGTATAGTCAAATACTCAGATTTCCCCCACTGTCCCTGAAACATCCTATATAGGTATTTTCTCCCCAGTGCAGCATCCAGACAGAAATCACATGTTCCACTTATTTATCTCTTGTCTTCAGTCCCTTTTTCTTAGACCTGTGCCCAGCCTTTTTTCTTTTTTTAATTTTTCATGATACTGACATTGTTTTAAGGATCCAAGCTATTTTTTTTTCTAGTGACCCATAATCTAGATTTGCCTGGTTATTTCCTCAAGATTAAATTCAATATTTTTGCCAATATACATGGTATTTCAAAGATGATGTGTACTTTCCATTGCTTTTCCTGAGGCGGCACCTGTGTTAATTTATCTCATCATTGGTCACGCTCAGGTTGGTTAAGGTGGTGTCCAGAGGATCTCTTCATTTTAAGGGTGCATTCTTTTCTTTGTAATTAATAAGTAATTTGTGGAATGATATTTTGAGGCCACATGACTATTCCTTGATAATTAAAATTTTAGCACACTTTAGTGATCTTTGCCTTATGTTGCTGGTTGCAAATGGAGATTTCTAATTCAGTTATCTCTTCTAATGATTCTTGTGTTAAAAAAATAGCTCCTTCTTCCTCCCGCCCCATGTTTATGTGCATATACTGCTATGAACTAATGGAATTTTAAAAAATTCAATGTGTCAGTCATTAATTCTGGGGGGCGGGGGGTTGTGTGTTTTTATTTTTGATGCTCACTTATCCCAAATTTGGGCAATGGGAGCCCTTCAAACCAAGTCCAAACATCTTTTTGACATGTCCACATTTAAACTTTGACCATGACCTTGTTTTCCGGCACTGCAGTGTTCTTTAGGCTCACCTTATGTTTGTCTTAGTCCTGGAATTTCTCCAAGGAACCCTGGTTGATTTTAATGGGGAATGGTGTGATACTAAGAAACCAAAATCCATGGCTCAGCGCCCATATCTCAGTGGGTAGGGCACCAGCCACATACACCAGGGCTGGCGGGTTCGAATCCAGACCGGGCCAGCTAAACAACAATGTCAACAGCAACAAAATATAGCTGGGTGTTGTGACAAGCACCTGTAGTCCCAGCTACTCAGGAGGCTGAGGTAAGAGAATCGCTTAAGCCCAAGAGTTTGAGGTTGCTGTGAGCTGTGACACTGCAGTACTCCACCAAGGGCAACATAGTGAGACTGTCCCAAAAAACAAACAAACAAACAAAAAGAAACCAAGATCCAGGGAGTAATTGTTTACTATTACAATTACCATTACTTCTAGATCTGTTTAGTGGATAGAGCTGGGAAGTATATATGTGCCAGGTTTTTTTTTTTTTAAGTCCTGAGTTCATACTGATAACTTTAATTCAAATCCAAAACCACAGGGATATTCCATTTTGTGTATTCCCATATTCCATTTTGTGTTCCTACAAATCCTGTTTTCTAAAACATCAGTATACTTACGTTTTTGCTCAATCATGTTACCACTACCAACAGCAAACTGTCTAGATAAAGTTTCCTTTTTGTCTCTAGAATATATACCACTAAGGCTAGCATTTTGTTGCTTTTTAATTCTTTTTGTTTTACGTTTTTGAGTATGCAAAAATATTAACATGATTCAGAAGTTAAATCTGTATCGAAAGGTACACACTCCCATTCCTTCTGCCCTATTCCCATTCACCCCTATAAGTAACCATTTTTGTTTGTTTCTGGTATATCCTTCCTGTGTTTCTTTGCAAAAATAAATCATTACTTTTAAATCTCTTTTTGTGTACACAGGAAGTACACTGTACATACTCACACATCTTGCTTTCTTATTCCTTTTTTTAAATTTAAGACACTGACTTCTTATATGTCTACTTATATTGATGCTAGAATACATTAATTAAATGATTATGACAGAATATAATGTTATTAGAGTCAGTTACTTTACTTTTTCTAAAAAATTAACTTTGAGGCCAGGCATGGTGGTAGCTCATGCCTGTAATCCTAGCACTCTGGGAGGCTGAGGCAGATGGATTACTTGAGCTCAAGAGTTCCAGATCAGCCTGAGCAAGAGCAATACCCTGTCTCTAAAAATAGCCAAGTGTTGTGGCAGGCACCTGTAATCAGTCCCAGCTACCTGGGAAGCTGAGGCAAGAGGATCACTGAAGCCCAGGAGTTTGAGGTTGCTGTAAGTAGGGATACCACAGCACTCTACCGAGGGCAACAAAGTAAGACTCTGTCTTAAAAAATTAATTAAGTAATTATTTAAAATAAAAACTTCGGTTATTAGGCAGTTACAGGGTCATAATACTTAAATAAGCTAATTCTTCTTTATAATTTACAGCCTTATTTGCCTTATTTGGCAGAATATAAAATACACTTATAGCAGTAAATTTGGGAGCAATAAATTTAGCACACTCTAAGCACTCAGAAAACATACATAGCATAATGGAAATAAGCCTGGACGAGAGTTAGGGTAATCTTCTGTGAGATATTTCCAGTCTAGGATCACTTTAACTTCTCAACATGCAGAGTTGTTGAGATCATTGAGAGAGCATGAACTGGGGCTGTCAATCCTTAAGAAGGCGCAGTATATGGTTATACTTTTTAGGGGGAGATTTTTCCTCTCTCCAAAGAACACCAAGACTGAGAAAATTGAGTTCTTTTTTTATTCCATAGAATTGAAGTTTGGGGGTTTTATTTTTCTATCCTGTTCTTACATTGTATGTAATCCTCTATGCAAGGGACTCCTCTGAACCTACCCTCCTTGGCTGGGCCCCAGGCTTTGTCTTCTGGCCCCTACACTTCCAAGAATGGAAGCTTACGGTCAGTAGTGTGATTGAGGAACTATCTCAGGCAGCCAACTTGAGCCCTTGCAACTCTCTGCCTTCCCACTTTTACTTGGTTTTTGGCCTCTGAGGATTTTACTTTCTTGCCTACTTAGAGGTGTATAAAACTGAACATTTGGTTAGACTATCTATGGTCATACTTCAGGAAAGGGAGACTTTGATAATCCATAAGTAGAGTAGTAGTATTGATCTTCAGTGGCTATTTCTGTCTCAGAGTGGTTTATAATTCTTTATGTTTACACAGCACCTACCCATTCTTTCCGTCTTCATTCAAATCATACTTCCCCACTGAAGCTTTCCTTGATTACCTGAATCAACATTGATCTCCTCTGTTGGGAATGTTATAGCACCGTTTGGCCTTAATAACCAAAAGATGCTGCTTCTAACCAACACTTTCTGGTTAGTGATATACAAATATTCAAGCCCTGCTTAATGGTCTCAAGTTTGGAATTTCTGATAAACTTATTTGTTTAAAAATGTGCACTTACAGTAGCAATTTATTTGCTTTAAGCTTGTTGCTTATAACTTTAGTACTTCCTTTTCAGGGATATATACATTCTTCCATAGACTGATTCTGATTACACAGATGTTAAAGTCACCTTATGGTACTGTTATCTTTCCCGTTTGTCTATGTACACCTGCCTGTACAGTCCATTCACATTCTTATTTTCTTTTGGAGAGAGGAGAAACAAATCTTGATTTAAGAAAGTTGGTTTTTAAATTTTTTTCTTCTATAAAAGTAATATAAGTACATATCTAGCTCTCAACAGCAATGAAAGTAATATAGCCAATTTAATGAGAATTAGAAAGTAGGAAAAAATACCTACAATATCATTGTTAGCATTTTGGTAATGTTATTCCACTTCCATCATTTTTTTCATGCTAGTTATAATACTGTTTTTTCTATTTAACATTACTCCCAAACATTTTCTCATGTCCACTATGATTTTGTATTTGAATAAAGTACTTGGTAAATTCAAGCAGTAGAAGGAAGCAAATTAAGGGTCTCCCCGCCCCAGTCGTTAGCAGAACTTTCTGCCCTTCGGTTATCAGTGTCTGTCTGTCTATAGTACACACAGCAAACCTCTACACAGATAGGCTCTCTTACTCTACATCCTGTTACATTCCTGTTTTGTTTTTTTTTTTTACTTAATGTGTCCTACGTACCTTTTCATGTCAATATACCTAGACCTGCCTAATTATTTTTATCATTTACCAGTATCCCATTACTCCTTATTCTAACAGGTCCCTTACTGATGGATCATTTCAGTGACTCCATACTATTCTATTAAATGGATATATTTGTAAAGGTGTTATACTTTGATCTGCATCTTACAGTTTCTGAACTATCCAGTACCATTTTTGTTATATTATAAATTATATATATGATAATGTTATATTATTCTTGATATTGAAAATTATGTTTTCTATCTGGTTTCAAAGGGGGAAAGGTTCATAACTTAAATTTTCTTTTAAATCATCATACTAGAACCATAATAGGTATCAACAAATACATATTTGATTGCGTTACAGCTAGATTTGGGGGTCAGAGTTTTTCGTTCAGTCTGTGCGTGTGTTGTACATGTATGTTGCACTTTCATTTGAGTTCACCTTTTTACAAGTTACTGTCATTTGTTTTACTAGTTCGGTTGAGTGGCTACCCTATGCACAGTCTTGGGCCATTTTCTGAAGGAAATATAAAAGAAGGATAAACAATTTCCAGAGTTTGCATCTAAGTTGAAAATAAGAAATGCCCCAAATTGTGAAATACAGCCTTGCACTGTATAATGACATTTTGATCAACAACAAACTGCATATACAGTGCTGTGGCAGTGGTCTCCTGAGATTATAAGGGAGCATATATCAAAGCCTAACTTATGGCACCTGATATTGTATTGCCGATCAAGTAAGGGAAATGCCTGATATTCAATAATGGCACTGGGACTTTTGGGTTTCCATATAAAACACATATAAAAATAAAATGATACATACCATCTAGGTTTGTATAAGTACATCCCAAAAATGTTCACACAGCAACAAAATAGTGACACGTGTCTCAGAATATATCCCTGTCATTAAGCAAAATGTGACTATGATCATAGAAGGCCAGGTTCTGTCATGGGCCCAACATTGTATTAAGTTGAAGCATATGAGACTTCTGATATTTAGTCATTTTACCTATTAAAAAGGCAATTTCATATGTGATTTAACCTAACCTGTATTTTAGATTCTGTAAAGGAGCATTGTAGAGGGATATAATCATCTTTTTTCATAGGTAGAGAAGGTATGAAAGAAGAAGGCCTAAAGTCTGGGATTATCATGGCATCTATAGAAGGATATGAAAGTACTTGTACATAACTTTAAAGTTAAGCTGAATATGAGGTATAAGAGGAGATAAAGTAGAATAGAAAAGATTAGAATATTTTGGGACTCAATGCCAACTGAACTTTTTTTCTTTTTCTCTCTTTAAGATTTATCTTTTATGCCACTGGCTCTTAAACTTTAGTGTATATCAAAACTATCTACAGGGCTTGCTAAAATAAATTTCTCATCCCCACCACCAAGGTTTCTGATTCAGCATGTCTGAGTGGGACCCAATAATTTTAACACATCTAAGACTGACAGTGATGGTTTTGCCACTGATGTAGGGAATGTATTTTGAGAAACATTATTTTAGTCTGTGAGACATTTACTAGAGATACTTAAGCACAGAAAGCACTCCATGAAATTGCTTGAAGAGTATTATGTCAGATTTTGCAGAGGAGACTGGAAGACAGCATGGCCACTCTGTGGGCACATTTTAGAAATTTATCCATGAAGCCATCCCAAGTTTTAGCCACCGTTTCCACTTCTCTTAGCTCTGTCACCTGACCTATTTTGTTTACACAATGCTCAAATTGAATAGGAAGAGCCTCTTTGTTTTTAACAATTTAGTCTCACATTTTTAGCCTTATTTTTTCCTTTCCCAATCTTTAAAGTCCATTTTAATGAGGTTGTCAAAGCTATAGTCTTTGGGCATTGTATTTGTATTTATTATTTTGATTCTATTTTGGCCATTTCTGTTCTCCAAATAGAGGAAGACTTTTATATTATTTTTATTTCAGAATGGGAAACTGAAGCGCAAGTGTGTACTCCAGTACAGAATATTTCTAAACTCACAAGTGATGGAACCCAGACCGTCAAATTAGAAGAATTATATGACTTTGATGACAGATTAGAGAAGCAAGAAACAGATACCTTCTGGAAAATTCCCACTAATGAAAGAAATTTCAGTTTGAAGTCAGCCCCTTTACAAGAAGATGACCCTACAGAAGAGTATCTTAGTAAATATGATATATATAGAAATGATTTTGAAAAGCATTCAAACCTAATTGTACAGTTTGATAACCAATTAGATAATAAAACACCCATATATGATATAGGCAGTGCAATCTTCAATCATGTCTCACATGGTGTTGTACACGGGAAAATACTTCCTGGAGACAAGCCTTACAAATGTAACGTGTGTGGGAAAAAATTTAGGAAATACCCATCCCTCCTGAAACACCAAAGTAGCCATGCCAAAGACAAATCTTATGAATGTGAAGAATGTGGGAAAGAGTTTAGGCATATCTCATCCCTCATTGCACATCAAAGAATGCATACTGGAGAAAAACCATATGAGTGCCACCACTGTGGTAAAGCCTTCAGTCAGCGTGCACACCTCACTATACATCAGAGAATTCATACAGGAGAGAAACCCTATAAGTGTGATGACTGCGGGAAAGACTTTAGTCAACGTGCACACCTTACTATACATCAAAGGACACATACTGGAGAGAAACCATATAAATGCTTGGAATGCGGTAAAACCTTCAGCCATAGTTCGTCACTGATTAATCATCAGAGAGTTCATACTGGAGAAAAACCTTATATATGCAATGAATGTGGGAAAACTTTCAGTCAGAGTACACACCTTCTTCAGCATCAAAAAATACATACTGGAAAGAAACCATATAAATGCAATGAATGTTGGAAAGTGTTTAGTCAGAGTACTTACCTTATTCGACATCAGAGAATTCATTCTGGAGAGAAATGTTATAAATGTAATGAATGTGGAAAAGCCTTTGCTCATTCCTCAACTCTTATTCAACATCAAACTACTCATACTGGAGAGAAATCCTATATATGCAAGATATGTGGGAAAGCTTTCAGCCAGAGTGCAAACCTTACTCAGCATCACAGAACACATACTGGAGAGAAACCATATAAATGCAGTGTGTGTGGGAAAGCATTCAGCCAGAGTGTGCACCTTACTCAACATCAGAGGATTCATAATGGAGAAAAACCCTTTAAATGCAATATATGTGGGAAAGCATACAGACAAGGTGCAAATCTTACTCAACATCAAAGAATTCATACTGGAGAGAAACCCTATAAATGTAATGAATGTGGGAAAGCTTTTATTTATTCTTCATCACTTAATCAACATCAGAGAACTCATACTGGAGAGAGACCCTATAAATGTAATGAATGTGATAAAGATTTTAGCCAGAGAACATGCCTTATTCAACATCAGAGAATTCACACAGGAGAGAAACCCTATGCATGCCGTATATGTGGTAAAACTTTCACCCAGAGTACAAACCTTATTCAGCATCAACGTGTTCATACAGGTGCCAGGCATCGTAATTAACAAATAAGGGAGACTTCATTTAGGTTTTACAACTTGATCATTTAAATTTTATTTTGTGCACTCTGTGTGTTAAGGTATTATCCAATAGAAATCCAAAGTGCAATATTTTAGGTACCACTCAACAGAAGTATTAGAATTAGTGATATGGATATAACCTATTTAAATTTAATGTGAAATTTAAGAAGAAAACCTCATTGACTTCTTAATCTTTATTTGATACCAGTTTAGTTCTGGAAAGAAACCCTTTGACAGTATATTCAAAAACCTCTAATTCATCAACTCTTACTGTATTTCAAGTACATCTCAGTGAGGCCTTATGAGTGTAATTTTGGAAAATGTCCATCAAATGATATTTCACCATAAAGGGTGATCTTGAGATTATAGAAAGAAAAATCTGCTTTTAGGCCTTTATATCTTCCCAGCATTGAAGCCTTAAAATATGTGAAGGGTTCCCTCCCCTTTTCCTGTCATGCCATAACTGCCATATGGAGCCAGTAGATTTGCAAAAAACAAAAAGTTGACAGTATCTTAAAGATTTCTCTGTGACCACTGTTTAATTACAGTTTCCCTCAGACACTGAATTATTAAAGGAAGAGAAGCTTAAAAATACGTTCAGATAGAGAAACTAACATGTACATAACACTTAGACATGTATACATATTTAAACAGACAAAAATAAAACACTCAGAAGCTTATTAATCTTTAAAACATCTTAGCCTCAGTTTCACTAAGTTTTGACATCCAAGGTCATCCAGAAGGGAAAAATAAGCACACAGTTCCCATTTTTTTCACCTGACTCCTGAATTCATAACTTAAGATTTCTCTGTGTCTGTTTTACTGTCGAAAGTCCATTGCTTCCATTAAAACACATTTGTTGAGTGCCTACTGTGCTAAGGTCCCAAACTTCCTAATTGGATCCTTTTAGGGCTTAATACAGTGTTGAAAAATCACAGCCAATTTAAACAACAAAAAGCTTTTTAGAGTAATGAAAGTAAGGATGTGATCGTAACTGTTCTGTCATGGAATGAACATAAGAAATTGTCAAATGAGTTGCCAAATGCTACCCATATCCCAAGACAAGGGAGTCATAAAGCATCTAAGTAGAAATGTGATTAAAAAAAAAAAAAGTGATGGAGAATAGATTGAAGTTCACTGCAGAAAGTGGGTCAAGGATAAATGGGAAAGCAATGGAGTGAAGAGAGTGTAAGTAACTATTATATAGGAAATGCAGTTGAACTTTCTTTACCTAAGAAAATAAGAGTGGCTACATAAAAAAGCAAAACTCAGCCTGCTTATAAGAAGAAACTAAAAACAAAATGACTTAATTTTTAAGGGATAATTGGAAACCTGGTACCTTCATACATAAAGTAAAATAGAGATGATTCTTTAATATGCCAGGAAAGAAAATTCTATTGGAAAAAGGCATTGACACTTTTCATTGGTGCAGTAGTCATCAAACATTGATAATTGAGTTCTTGAGTCCTAAACAACATAAAAGGAAAACTGGCAGGAATGCAAATGGAAATAGGTACAAACACTATTATATTTAACATTCACAGCATTCCACTATCTGAATAAGACCATATTCTGAGAACTTAGATTTTATTCTGTTCATATTTTTTCTCCAGTGCCTTGCATATAGCATGTGGTCAATACTTATTGGTTGAATTAATGAATAAATTACATAAACTAGAATATTAAGGTAGAATTGACTGGCATGGACTGAAAATTGGTAGAACTAACAATGCTTTTGTGTGTCAAGAAATATTTAATAAGTATTATTTACTGGGTAATAGGAATTGCTTACAAATGGAGAATCAAATTTCCTGGGACATCTTTGCACAAGGAAATTTTCCAGAGCTAAATGAGGGAAAATTGATACAGATTCTGGTGCCATAATTATCAATTTAAGCATTACTGGTCATGCAGCTTCATTTGGACATCACTGGTTATATAAACATCCTATGAACAGGTGCTGAAGGAAAGACCTGGGGTGCTAGCATCTTCAAAGCTATATTGAATGTTTTCTTTATAAAACTCTTGCTTTCTCTTTTCCTCACCTTGGTTAACCTTGATGTCAATTATCATCCTTCACAAAGCACAGATTGCAAAATACTCAAATTGTGCTTATTCCATAGTTATGTTAAAAGAAAAAGTTGTGTTGAAGATACACTTTGTGATGCCACTTCATCCCTAACATACTTCTTTCTCTTGGATGAACATGTGAAGTGTTACCGTTCATAGCACCTTTCTTTTCATTACTTTGTATTTTCTGCCTTTGTGTGTTTTATGTAAATAATGCATTTATAAAGTCTTCCACTGATACACAGGTACAATTGATGCCCTTATAAAAGAACAATAGTGGAGAATCCTAGATCTTTGTGTATTTTTTCCAACTTTTACAGTTGTCTGACCCATGAATAATTCAACAATTGTTAGCAAATAGTCCACAACTTTTTATTTTGAAAGTGTTCAAATGCAAAAAAATTTAAAAATAAGAAAATAAAATGTGTACCCTCACCCAAATTCTAAAATTAACATGTTGCCATATTTTTAACTGAACAATTAGAAAATAACTTATAGACATGACGTTTCGCTTCTAAATCCTAAAGCATGCATTTCATAAAAATACAGTCTCAGATATCAATAATTCCCTGATATCTAGAGACCCTGCCCATGTTTAAATTTCCCATTGATCCTATCACTTTTCACACATAATGTTTATGTCTGTCCCATCTATCTAAAACAGTCTCCACTTTTGTTTTTTCCTCTTGTTTTAAGAGAGCAGGTCAATTGTCTTGAAGAATGTCTCACATTCAGGAATTAACTAATTGTGCAGATGTGGTTTACATGTGGATTGTTCCTGTATTCTGTAAATTAGAAGCTAGGGCCAAAGGCTTGATTGGGGTCCGGTTAAACATTTCATTTTTAAGACAAAATATCACTTTGTCACCCCCAGTAGAGTGCCATGGCATCATAACTCAAAGCAACCTCAAACTCTTGGGTTCAAGTGAAGCCGCAGCCTCCCCACAGTTGTGGAGACCACAGGCGTCCACAACACCCAGCTATTTTTAGAGATGGGGTCTCCCTCTTCCTCAGGCTGGTCTCAAACTCCTGAGTTCAAGCAATCCCCCCACCTCAGCCTCCCAGAGTACTAGGATTACAGGCATAAGCCACTGCACCTGGCCTCAGGTTAAATATTTTTAATGGTAACTACACTTCACAGGTAAATTTCATATCACATCATATCAAAAGTGTCAATAATATCTAGGTGACTTACTGTCTTGATGAGACACTTGGTCACTCAGTTGAGGTGGCAACCATCAGATCTTCCCAATAGAAAGGTAGTTTTTCCTACTACAATTTAACAGTCTGTGGACTGACATGTTGGCAGCATATTAATATCCTGTTTGGCAACAACTTTTCACTTGGTGGTTTTAGTACCCACCAGTGATCTTTGAATCAATTGTTTCATCAAGGTTTGCAAAATGCTAATTTTCTAATCGTGTCATTCTTGTCATGTGCTGACTGGCATTCTCTATGGAGAAACTTTCCCTCATCAACTGGGAATACAGTAGGGGCAGGGTCATGCTCAGCTCTTGTCCTTTATTACAATGGTTCTCAATCTGTGGGTTGAGACCCTCCCTCCCCCTTTTTTTTTGAGACACAGCCTCAAGCTATCGCCCTGGGTAGAGTGCTGTGGCATCACAGCTCACAGCAACCTCCAGCTCCTGGGCTTAAGTGATTCTCCTGCCTCCTCCTCTCAAGTAGCTGGGACTACCGGCACCCACCACAACGCCAGGCTACTTTTTGGTTGTAGTTGTCATTGTTGTCTGGCAGCCCTGGGCTGGATTTGAACCTGCCAGCTCTGGTGTATGTGGCTGGTGCCTTAGCGACTTGAGCTACACGAGCCGCTGTGACCCCTTTTTAACAATGAAAATACATTGCGGCATTAGGAAGGTTGAGAACCACTGCTTTACCAGTTTAAGAGTTTAATTACCAGTGAGGAGTTTGATGTTACCATCTGCAGTGATGAAAAATCAGTCAGTGTGCTATAGTCAATTATGATCATTTTTTTGATGTTCACATTGTTCCAGATTGGCCAATTGGAACCTTTAAGTAGCTCTATATCCTTTTAACATTTCCTCTCTAGTCTTGGATGATTTAATTTTGTCTTCTTTTTTTTTTTTTTTTTTTTGAGACAGAGCCTCAAGCTATCCCCCTGGGTAGAGTGCCGTGGCATTACAGCTCACAGCAACCTCCAACTCCTGGGCTCAAGCGAGTCTCCTGCCTCCGCCTCCCAAGTAGCTGGGACCACAGGCGCCCGCCACAACGCCTGGCTATTTTTTGGTTGCAGCCGTCATTGTTGTTTGGCGGGTCCGGGCTGGGGATTCGAACCCGCCACCTTAGGTGTACGTGGCTGGCGCCTTAGCCGGTTGAGCTATAGGCGCCGAGCCTAATTTTGTCTTCTAACACAAGATATCTTATGTTCACCTTGTACTTTTCAATATCCCAGACATGGGATTCCTGGCTCCTTTTAACAGGTAAGCTATTTAGAAACCAAGACCTGGACACTAGGCAGGCTCACTGTCACTGGAGTGTCAGTAACACTTCCTTGCAACCATTCAACTAAGTTTTCATAGAAACAACGCTCTCTGCACTCATGTTATCAGTTACATAGTACCTAATTATGTAATGAGGGATATAATTATGTAAGGTACATAAACTTTGGGAGGCAACAGCTAAGTCTTGTTAAGCATATACCTAAGTTGGAGAGAACATTGCCATGTTATGTGTACTAGAAAGCAGTGCATGAGGTGCTGTGCCTGGGCTATCAACAGATTCAACACAGGGAATGGAACTTGTCAGTTAATCTGGCAAATGGGTTAAACAGAGGGCAATTAAGAGAACTAGATGTATCATACCTAATATATCGTGTTTTAACTATTACATGTCTTGATAACTTGTATTTATAAGCTAATGACACTCCTTTTCCATCG